TCTCTCTCTCCGGCGCAAAATGGAAATAACCAACAGTTTATTTCCATGACCCGCCGAAACCCACAACATAACCTTTGTTTGCCAGTTATATAAACATAGTCGCACTGAGGAAGCAGTTCTGCAAAGTACGGGTTGCATGAATAAGAACCACGTCAGGCTAGTAACTAGAGAGTTGAGGAAGTAACTGGAGCTTGTACGGAAATCGCTGGTGGTTTTCTCTCAGTTCTATTCTTATACTTCGATTGGGGTGGCTGAAGGAGTTTGTCCCCGGAGAGGAATAGCAAAATCGAGAGAAAGAAGAGTTTGAGGGGGCCACAAGGAGAAAAGAGGGAAAGCGGCGATGGGACACATCACAGATTAGAGAAAGAGAGACGAGGAGAGGAGAGAGAGAGATGAAGAGGGACGGGAAAGAGAAACAAAGAGAAGGAGAAAAGAAGGGAGATGGAGAAGAGAATAGATAGATAGTAGATACGAGAAAGAGAAGAAGACCGTAGAGAGAAAGAAAGAGAAGAGGAAGATAGATAGATATAGAGGAGGGATATTATATTATATTATCTAGTAATATATATATAGAAGAGAAAGAGAAGATAGATATCGGATAAGAGTAGAGAGAGAAGAGAGAGAAGAGAGGAAGGAAGCAAAAGAAGAGGGGAGAAGAGCGAGAGAGAAGGAGAGAGGAGAGAGAGGAGCAGAGAAATGCCGTAGATAGATGGAGAGATGCTATAGATAGAGAGAGGGGGGAGAGAGAGAAGAGAGGAGATGAGAGATGAGAGAGAGAAAGAGAGCAGAGAGGAGACAGAGAGAGCTAGAGAGAGACGTAAGCCTGAGACGGTGAGTGAAGAGAGAGAGAGAGACCGAGAGAGAGAGGATGTTGAGCAGAGAAAGGAGAGAAGAAGAAAGACCCGACGAGAGAGAGAGAGAAGAGAGTGAGAGATGAAGACGAGAGAGAAGAGAGATAGACACACACACACACACGACACACAACACCAGCACACACACACACATACACACACCACCACCTAACACACACACACACACACAGACACACATGCACACACGCACACAGATATAGATATAAAGAGAGTAAGAGAGAGAGAGTGAGAGAATGCCGAGAATGTAGATTCTCAACCTAGATTTTAGTGCGTAACTATGATCATGAGCCGGCGTCGAGCCTGCGTAGAGCAGAATTGAATCTGTTAATCTAATATTTTGTTATCGTTGTTGTCCGGTGATGTATTTTGAGATTTGCGCTCATGACCTAGTCATGACAACCTAGTCTATATTAATTAAACCGTACCTTCATATATATATATATATATATATATGCCCCCACACAAACAAATTTTTTTTATACG